CAGTCGCGCCTATTTATAACTCAATGAGCAGCGAAATGGCAATGGAGCCTGACATCAACGATGCATGCTGCGGAGAATTTCCTATTTTATATGTCATAGTTATACATAGAGCAAGCGTCTCAATTGTTTATTCTCCTTATTTGATAGATGTGACGCTCACAGGGTTTTGTGCATAAGAGACGTCAACGATTATGTTTTTGAGCGTGCCTTGGAGAAGTTACTGCACCAGCAATCATTGACCGGTATTTTGTAAAACGAGATAATAACTTCTCTAATCGAAAGCTTATTTTTTCGCATTATGCAATGCATAGTTCTGTGCCGATTGCCGAAGCTGACAATGACATTTTATTACCTTAAACTCCAAACTGCTTCACGTAGCGAATGATTATTTCGTAGATAAATTGACGTCAATGTGATATAGGTGTATTGTTGTGCCACAGGAATAATATTATGATAATATGATAATATATGCACATACCTATTCTCGCACCATCAAAGGTACCAAATATGATAGGGTAAGGGGAGAGGGGCTAGGGTAATAGGGTTACGAATCAACAGATTGTCAATAATGTGCCTTGAATCTTTTTACATTGACCTATGCACATTTGCTTTGGAACATAACTGGCGAATTGTATTATGTGTCTTTTGGCAATTGGGTTACACTCATATGTGATAGGTATTTGAGCGGTATACCGTATACATTTGACTGACTAATACGGCAAATATATGGTTCAAAACGAGTACAGCCAGTCATTTCTGTGGTCTAGAGGAAAACGGCGCCGAATGATCAGTACCTAACGTAAAAGTGATCGTAAAACGCCAGCACCGCGCTTGAAACAGCCCGACTTCGGGGCGGGGTGTATATGTGGATATGCATAACGTCCTACCACATGCCATACGTGTATAAGTGATCAATGAAAAAATGTGAAGATGGAGATCAAGCTGGTCAAAAGACACCTTGTCTATTTAACAAAGAAAATATTACAAAAGGGCTCTCACCTGACTTATGCAGCAGTCCGTTCGATAACGTCTCCCTCTCAATAGAAACACACACCACACACACACACCGTCCGCTTCGACTGCGCTCAGTCCAGTACCTTTCCAGTCACTGAGTGGGTGCCCGCGCCGCGGTACCTCCGTCACTGCCTGTTCCTGCGGTCAGTCTGACGCTCCACTGGCCCTAGAAGGGCGCCCGGCCTGCCCGGCCCGCCGCCGTCCGGCCCCCGGCCCGTTTGGAGCGGCCGTTTTCCTGTGTCGTGACCACCCCGGGTACGGCTGTCCTGCGTCAGGGGCCGACTGTCCGGATGGAGGCTTCACCCGACAGTCGCTGAGTCACTGGACAGAACTGAGGCTCGTTCCGGATGTGGCACTACGCAGGATCGGCTCGGCAGTGACGTCCGCAGCTGACGCAGTGTGTCCGGTAGCCCGCAGGTGTCTGGGCGGACCTCCGCAGGTAACTGCTGGAGCTGAGGGCAGGTGTCGCACTGAGCACAGACCCGCATGGACCGAGACACTGTCTTTGTTCCGCAGTGCGGACATAGCGTGGTCGTTTCAAGGTGACAGCCGAACGTGCGACGCATGGAGGGAGGGAGGCACAAGGCGGAAATGATGAACAACTGCGGGTCTGTTCCATTCGGTGAAAATGCAAGCATGTGTGCATGAATATCAGGCGAACGTATAAGTGTCATTTGCTGAAACTGATATTATCCCTGATCCTCTGATCCTGGATTTTGTGCTTTGTTGGCGTTATTTGCTGGAGTTTGCCAGGCAGGAAAACTATCACAAAATAGTCACTTGCGGATTTACACCATCTAATGCGGAAGCGCAAGATTACTGAAGCACATACGCCAGCTATAGGCAATCGTTCCCTTCACTTTATAAGCATTGGAAAATGATTTTTAAGTCAATAGGCCTGCGTAAATTTTAAACATTTTGTTATCTATCCAAATAATATCCTAAAACTACAATACATTCATCCATAGGTACCTATAGCCCATTCATTATCATTTCAAGAAACATACCGTGACTCGTAAGTAATATACATAGATGTATTTCTGGTCATGAGGGAATACCTATACTGTACCATTTATTTATAACAATTTTCCTTGCTTCGAACGAGATAATTGATCTGCCATGCAACATTATTGCTGTTTATTCCATATTCCTAGATGGCAGCACCATTCGACGCCTGTCGATATGCTGTACCGCCGAACGCTGAGTTTGCACAAATGTGACACTAGATGGCACTAGTGATAAGCGCCTGAAGGTAGACTGTACCGCAAGGCGTGTCACTGATCTCGCGACGCTAGACAGCGCTTGTGATGGCAACGAGATAAGGAGACTATGGAGTCTGGAGAGTGGAGATGCAATGATAAACGGAGACAAAAGTACCAGCATATGAAAGATTTATCTATTGCAGGCATCTTTAAAAGTCCCTTTACTTTGTTCCAGAATTAGAATCGAGTTGGCAGATTGTACGTAAACTTACTGTTTGTTGAAATGACGTGTATGCACCTGTCGGACGATTTGCACTCTGATGCATAAATAATTACGCTCGTCTAAAATCTCACTAAAAAATCGCTACGCTAGTACCTTATACGTTTATCATCATACCTACTCGTAGTTCGTATGTGAATGCCGACTGACTAAACACAAAACCGCAATTATGGAGTACCTCCGAGCTAAAACATACATATTCAATGTAGTATCGAAAGTCAGGCTATCTAAAAATAATTCGGTAAGCACCATTTTAGCAGCCTCCAGTCCTTTTAAATGCGTCATCACATGCAATCATTAGTTATCCATCCATCTCACGCGAAACTAGGCCTGTCCAGTCATCCATTCATCATCTAAGCTGAAAGACGTAGCTGTATGTACACATTTACCATAAAATTTACACCTCTGAATTAGACGACTGAGCCCAGTCCGCACCTCGAACCTTCCACAATCGTCCGTCCTTCACCGTCGCTATCAGCCGATGAGTGGGTATGACGTCATTCTTACGTCATAGCTGCGGCGGGCGCGGAGCCAGCGAGCCGCCCGTGCCAGCGCATCGATCCCAGGGGCGGGTGCAGCGGGCGGGCCAGGCGGCAGGCCTGTAGATGAGGAGTCACGCCGCCCTAAAACTGGTCCCTGGAGACGCCATTGCGCCCTGTAGCGCAGCCAGCCAGCCGGGGCGGGCGCCGGGCCGTGCGCCGGGCCGTGGCCGAGGGTGCCGCCGCAGTGAAAGGGCGTGCTCGTGACTCGCCCGCCCGTGACAGTGAGACCGGTGTGTTACAGTGAGCCGTGCGAGTTGTGTTGGGGTAGCAGGGAGCGAAACAGAGCGGTAAGTTCACCTCTGGGATCACTGGGTGCTGGTGATGGCAGTGTTACGTCACTGAGGGGAAATGTGCGCAGGTGCGCGCAGCTGGGTCCAGGTGGGGACTCCGAGTATGCCTGCCGTGCCAGGCTGTTTACATGCACTCTGGACTGTGACACACTCCTAGATACCCGTCTTCTTTGCGAGTACCTATACAATGACCGGAAACTACAAACTTAGGCTACGATGACTATTTTACTTTGCTGCCGTGTTAAAATGCACCGGAATCAATGAGTCTGAGTCGTTACGAATGACATGCATTGTGGCTTGTTGCTGTGGTCTGTGCCGTGGCCACAGCCTCACAGGAGTCTGTGAGCATGAAACAGCCCTCTTCCTCACCCACTTTATCGTCGATATCCGTGTTGGTACTACGATATTGGTACTTTTGACTCCATCCGAGTGGTTTCGTCTTTAGGCATTTGTCTTGAGGCATGTCCATCTATCCACTCCTGCGGCAACCTCGGTGAAAAGCAGCACGCGGTATTTAGATTGAGGCCTTCAACAAAAGTGAATATGAGAGGCAAACATTTTCTTGTTTTTTATATTTCTTGACAAATGACGTCAGATACAATTAAAAGGCGGGATGGTGAGTGCCGAGCACGGATGAAAGCAGGCTCGACTTTTTCAGATCTTCCCATGTTGTGATGTAAAGGTTTGATATCGTTCAATCGAGTTTGCTGCGCTGTCATACGTATCATCCCTTTCCACCCATCCTATGCACTATGCACAGTGCACTATGCACTGCACTGCACTATCTTATGCAATGCAGCAGGCTGCGTCGCGTGAGGTCTTTTCCGTTTTCGTCACGTGTTGTCTCACCGTCTACCCCAGAGCCCCTTGGCGGATGTTTGGTCGCTCTGACATGTTGTTTGCTTGGAAGACAACAGCCAGATAGTCCATGGTGGGCCGTGCACGGATGACACAGACCCACACGAGGGATCCGTTCTCTCGCAGGGGAGATTCTTGCGTTGTACCCGCAGTGTAGGTATGTGAGTTACGCTGGTCGATTTAACATATTTAATCTAGAAAGGTACTTCGTTGAAGCTCGCATGCGTTTTATGCGTCTCGAGCTGCGGTCGATGAAACGGGTATTCACCGGATGAAATTTAGTGTGCACTTTGTTATGCAATTCACAATAATATAAGGCCTATTGCTATACCTATAGTATGTCTCGCGTTTTATTACGAGCGCATAGAGTATTAATGCGAATCTTTGTTTGTGAACTCAGCATTAGTGGCGTGCACGCAGTCAAATCGAAAACAACTGAACCCGTTTTTTCTCGGTACATATAACATATCTCACTACCATTTCTTGAATTATATGCGTGAATTATACGAAAACAGATATTCGGGCTCGGTCTTTGTCCGCCAAAGAAAGACATCAATATGTCTTTTAAATTCTAAGACCTTGCGCATTCGATTCCCAAACCGGTGCTCTTAAGTTAAGTACAGTATCTAGACTTTACATAGCTACAGGCTACCGCTGAAACGGTATGCCATATGTATACGAAAAAACTGTGGCTCGGTTCTAGCGACGGTAGGTTGTGACCATCACGGTTTCTCCCGTAATGAGAAATATCGTGGACCACATGACACGTGATTCGTGGCTCTCTCCTGAATTAAACCAAGGCCCTAATTAGCAAATCTAACCAAGGCCCAAGGCTCTAAAACCTAAAACCAAGGCCCTAAAACATAAAAGTCTAAAACCTAAAACTAAAACCTAGAGCCTAACACTACTAACAACTCTTGTTCCGATTTCGGGTTGATTGGTTCCGATTATATCCGTTTTGTTTTGTGCGTTTTTAACCAAATATATTGACCACATCACCAGCTTCAAGTCCCTAACTCCTTGGTCGTCAGTGAATATAAGATCTCTATGGTCAGTGATTCAATCGTTCAAGGGCCCTGATTCAAGCCTTTGATTCTTGAGGGCCCTGGATTGCGCACCTCGTACCTCATGAATAGTACTAACCTCGTGAACGTCCTAGACGTGAGTTCATGGTCAGGGCCTCAGGGCCAAGGTAAGGATATGAGTCATGTCATGCATGTGCTCGATACCTACTGTTTGGAGAACTATTCCTCGAATACTAGCAACTCTCGGGAAACAATTCCTGCCACAGTGACCCAGTGCTCCTGTACGTTGAGCTAACGTATTTTACCTTGCACTCTCTACAATCGGAATGCATTTAAAGGTATTACCGCGAACTCTACTCGGAAATCGGAACCTTAATGTTCAGCATATCTGCACTATGCCGTAATGCATCGTTTATCAATACGCATAGATAATTTATATGATTCATGTTATCTGTGCAATACGTAATCGAAAGTGACCTTGCCAAAGGAACGGCCACGGTATCTCGACAGTATAATCTTTCGTTGTATTCTAGGGCATTTTAGTTATCGACTTTCAACATATAAACGGTTTATGCAGTTTGTAACGAGAGGACATTAGATGCTCATTGTTCTATTCGTGTGCACGTTTTAAATAGAAGTAGTGATAAAAATAAGGTTCCTATTGAAACCAAAAACCATGTGAATAATCCGCCAAAGTGCAAGCCACATAAACCATTTTATGCTGCTTATCACATATCTTCAAAGTTAATTTTCGCCCTTTATATAAGCTGCTTGCCAGCTATAGCTGACACGGGCCCAGGTGCACGGACCCATCGTTTTCATGTAGGCATATCAGTTGATAACGATAGCCGGCCGGCGGTGGACATCGATCGATCGTTATCACCTTCGGTCCACCACCAGCCGAGCCCGATAGCCGACCGGCCGGCGTGCGACAGACACCCACTGTGCGACAAACAGGGCGTGTTTGTTAGAGGTCTGACCGGGACGACGGCTACAAACCACAGCGGACACGCGGTGTGGGCTCTATGTGAAGGTCATATGCGATAAACAGGCTAATGCGGGACCGTCCACCGTGTAGTAATTATACCGTTTCATTATTGAAAGGTCGAATGTGACGCACTCTGCGCCCTTCAGTGACGTCTGTTTGATTGTAATGTGACGTGTATCTGCTTGTTCGACTTTTTGTGATTAGGTATACTGGACCTACATATACCTTGCCTTGTTTGTGTTTGATTCTCGCCGGACCATCGGTTTTTAGATGCCGAGTGTGGACGGCAAACGACCTTCGCTACTAGAGCTTCGGAACAAAGAAGTGAACTGGCCGTCTTACATGGCGAATGATATCCAGCTTACAATTCTCATATCAACCCGAAAACTCCGAGCTCGAGTCAACAGCTCGTAGATTGGGTTCCGATTTGTGGCTATGACTTTCTCCCAAATACACCTTTTTGCGTTGTTCGATGGCCAATCGTCATAACCATTTCGGCATCAGTTTGGACAAGCGTCATTCAGAATAACCCATCGGCGATGTGCATCACTGTTAGACGGTCGGCAAAACAGGCTGGACTCCATTTAACCATTCTGCATAACTCTTTTTCATTGAGCACAATGTTCGTCACAGGCAAAACACTTTGTCAGATTGTCATAATGCTTCGACATTTCACAAAATGGTTAGTCGATATGCAAAATTCATCGGTACTGTGCGTAAACAATGACTGTTTATTTAAAACTTTCGTCAATGATCAAAATGTCAATGATGTAGTGCTTATCTAGCCATATTCAATGTTTAACGTTAATCACGCATTCAGGGATGAGGCTTATGACAGTTCCAGCGCAATTTGCAACCAAGTAACCATTGAATTCCGAAAAAGGCAGTTATACCATAGCTACGAGGAGACTGCCGGCGCCATACCGAGTAGGCATGTAGATTCTTGAGCGTCGGACTCCTAAACGCTTCGATACAAACCACGAAGTCGGCCGTCATTATCGCGTCACTGCCCGTGCGATGTCATGGGACAACGCCTCGGGCGGCCGCGCCGGTCGGACTCGCGAGGGAATGGCTGACAGATGGCAAGCCGGGCCCTGCCGGCCGGACACCTTGGTTTTTGGGGCGGGGCTGACTTATCCAGCCTGTTGCCTGTTCCTTGGTGTTTGAGGCGGGGTTAACTTATCCAGCCTGTTGCTCTGTTGCCTGTCCATTTTTCAATCAGCCGATAACATGTCAGCTACGTCCATCTACATTGTACCTATGGCGCTCATGAACGCTACCGATTTTTATGTAGATCAATTGTCTACGAGTTTCGCCACCTATGCCTCGCACTGCACTGTATAAACCCGGTCATATTTATACTTCTCTTGTAAAGGGGCGATCTGTTTTTAGTTTTGACAAAATGTTATGAGGAATGCCGAAATTAGCATGGGGATGTTTCGGTGAACGACGAAGGGATATTAACGAAAGACGAAGCATTTATCCAAATCGTCAAAGGTTTTGCCGGAACTCAATCAGTTATGGCGAATAGCGAAGGTAATACCAACTGACGAACTGTGGAGTGGGATCAGCATTCCGTTTTGCCCATATGCTGAAGGTTTTGCCGGAATGCCTCTCACTGGCGCCACCTATGTGCTGATCGGACGAATGGGTTTTGCTGATTGGCCATCGAACAACGCAAAAAGGTGTACTTCTGTGTGACAACCATTTATTTGTTTTACGTTGCACGCTGAAACTTCTCTTGTTTTCCAGGTGACATCTCTAAGAGCGTAGCCAGCGATGAGCGGCTACCCTCAGTCTGGCTACCCGCCGGGTCCGGGAGGCCCATACGTCTCCCAGCCGAGCGGGATGGGAGGCCCGCCTCAGTACCCTGGCCAGGGCTACCCGCCGCCCGGCTACCCACAGGGGCCGTACCCTCAGGGGCAGTACCCGCAGGGTCAGGGGTACCCCCAGGGACCGTATCCCGGCCAGGGGTACCCGCAGGGCCAGCCGTACCCGGGCCAGCCCTACCCCGGACAGCCAGTCATAGTGCAGGTGAGGCTGTGATCAGTCTAATGAGCGTGAAATGATGAACGCCATTTACGTTTGTGACCTAAAAATACTATTGGTGTGTTATTATTTGTTCAATTAGTCATTATTGTCATCAATCAACTTACACCTATGGAGTATATTATTGGAGTATATTATTATTGGAGTATATTATTATATACTGGAGGATATATTGGAGTATATTATATTATTGGAGTATATTATGGAGTATATTATGGGTGATTGGAAACAGGCATGCATCATTCCATTGTTCAAGAAAGGAAAGAGAGCAAGACCCAATAATTATCGGCCCATTAGCCTTACAAGTCAAGTTTGCAAAATGCTAGAAAGAATAGTAAAGAAGCACATCATCAACCACTTAGAAGAGAATGACTTTATATCACCTCACCAGCATGGGTTTGTAAAACACCGATCGTGTCAATCGAATTTATTAGAATCACTCGAGGATTGGACCAAGACAGTAGATGAGGGAGCAGGACTTGACATAATTTACCTGGACTATCAGAAAGCTTTTGACACTGTGCCGCTCAGAAGACTCTGTGTGAAGCTGCAAGGTTATAATATCAAGGGAGAAGTCCTTGCTTGGATATCAGACTTCTTGAGTAACCGTACCCAGAGAATTTCGGTTGGTAACAAGTTGTCCACATGGTCCAGAGTCAGAAGTGGGGTACCCCAAGGTTCGGTGTTAGGTCCTGTATTATTCATCATTTATGTCAATGAACTACCAAGCCTGGTCAGAAGCAAGATTAAAATGTACGCAGACGATACCAAGTTGTATGGACCTGTTAGTAATCAAAGTGATGCTCTAAAGCTGCAAGCTGACCTGGATATACTCACCAAGTGGTCTGGAGAGTGGTTGTTGCAATTCAATTTGGAAAAATGCAAAGTAATGCATTGCGGCTCCCAAAATCCTGGATTCACTTACACAATGAAAACAGTAACTGGGCGGCCACAAATGCTTGAGGAAACTCTTGTAGAAAAGGACCTTGGAGTGTACATTACCAACACACTAAAACCTTCACTGAACTGTTCTAAGTCAGCAAACAAGGCCATGTCTGCCCTCAGGGTACTGAGGCTGACCTTTGGTCAATTAACAGTGAAGAACTTCAAAACCCTTTTTTCGGTGTATGTTAGACCTCATCTTGAGCACTGTGTGCAAGCGGCTGGTCCCTATTTGAATAAGGACATGCAAGCACTTGAAAAAATACAAAGGAGGGCCACTAAACTAGTCCATGGATTGAAAAGAGTACCATATGAAGAACGTTTGAAAGTACTAAACATGACAAGTATGGAAGAAAGGATCAGAAGAGGAGATTTGATAGAAACATTTAAGATTCTTAAGGGGAAATTGAACGTACGCCCAGGTCAATTTTTCACTAGCCACCACGGAAGGACGACCAGAGGTCACCAGCTCAAACTTGAGATACGGAGGTCCAGGACCCAAGCTCGAGCAAAATTCTTTGCAAACAGAGTAGTCTCAGCATGGAACAAGCTGTCTCAGGAGATCATAATGTCTGAAAACACAAACACTTTCAAGAACCGGCTAGACAAGCTCAGGACCACTACGGCGCTATCCTCTCTCTTTAACATCCACAGTACCTAAGTTACCCAGTCTGGCCCAGTTTAATGCTCGAAGTGAGCACCGAATAGACCCTGTCTACCATAGCTCACTATATTAAACTTAAACTTAAACTATATTATAAAGTAAGGATGAGTGATGCAACACGATAATAAAATTGGCACCTGCCCAGTGCCCACTGCCCGTCTTATAAAATCTCGCATTCTGCCTCCATTCAATTGTCACTAATCGTTATGTAGCGGTAGGAAAAGTTTCGATCATGGACGAGTCATTATATAGAGTCATATTGTAGAAGCGTCTCCAATTTTCATTACCTGCTGTGTTTAGTTGCATCTTCACTGCCTCTCTGTAGAGTGAGATTTTTCACTCTGAACCAGCCTGACCGTCTCTCTTTCTCCCAGCAGCAGGAGCGCCGGGACAGCGGCGGCGACGGCTGTCTCAAACAGATGGCCATCTGCTGTGGTATCTACGCCTGCCTGTCCTGCTGCAACCCCTGTGAGTGGCTCGGCTGTCTGCTCGGCTGCGACGACTGAACGCAGACTGCCGATCGGCCAGTGACTGACCGCGGGCAACGGGCTGAGACTGAGCGCGGACTGCGGCCGGAGACTGAGGCAGATAGCGGCCAGAGACTGAGCGCAGAAAGGGCCGGAGTCTTCTCTGAACGGCCCGGCGACTGACTGTGCGCAGACACTGGACAGACAGCGATGAGTGAACACTACCACCCAGACACTGTCGGGTTTAAACGAAGGATGCTTTAGGGAGCCAGTCGGTGATTCAGCGTGGATCTATGGGACAGTACGGACGGTGTGACTGCGATTGTTGGATGTCCTTCCACGCAGTGTAGCACCGTGACCGACCAGTGGAGGGCACTGTAGGACGTCAGCTGTTTGCACTTGGCACTGAACTCACGTTTAACGTGATGTGCACCCCTAAGATTGAGTGTGTCGTCGCTGTGATTTTGCAGAAGTGGTGACGGTTGCGCCCGCCACACGTTTGAGATATAAGCATTGCTGTGGCCGAGTTATTTTTTCAATTCAATCGCCGCGCCCCATGAGCCTTGGAAGTTGTAGGTATAGGACGAAGCTGGGCGGTTATTAGTTTATTTATTTTTCTGATTCTCTACTGTGTTGGGGCATGTGCGATGCAGCGTTGCGAAAAATGGTATCACCGAATGTGTGAAGCATGCGAGCAGCGCAACCCTCTTTATACACCGGCAGAGCTTCAGGATACTGGATGCCTTGTATTGTGCTGTTCATTCACGCATGTTGAAGGTTTGTCGCGAGGCCTGCTGTCTCTGCTGGCTCACGCATCTTAGTGCGCATTTTCATGTAACTTTCCTACGAGTAGGTATGTTGCATACTTTGTAACGGGGTATGCTGTATGCAAGCGGCATCAATTGATAACTCCGCATCAACTGATGCTCCAAATTATCACCCTACTTTTGAAAGGACTTTTGGTAGCGTGTAATTCAAGCCTTTATAGGCGGCAAATAAAAAGAAAAAGCGTGATCGGATTAAAATATTTCAGTCACCATATATTCATATGCATGGAGACTGAAATGGTTTCATCATGTTACGACAAGAAATAAAGTTTCCCATCTTACCTATTCGCCTGTACATTTTCTTAATCATGCATGTTATGTACGCGACAATATAATGAAATATAATAAAGTATAATTTTTTCTAAGATGAGCCATCACTGATAGCCCACGCCAGCCGCTCCGCAGACGCCACCACACGAACTTCATTAACCAATTAGTAATTATATTGGCCGTATCTCCCGCTGGCAGCAGGTCCCCTCCCCACGGGGACTGACACCGCTATCATACCACACAGCTACCCCCTATCGGCGGTCCGTCGGCCTGTCCGACCGGCCGCGCCACACACAACACCGACCGTCCGCGCTCTCCGCAACACTATGGCAACCTGGGACACGCGGTCAGGGCCCAACCGGGACCGAATGGAAGCCGAGACCAAACTGGAGACCGGGACCAAACCAGGACCACACCGGGACCGGGACCAGAAGCAAACCAGGCTGGGACCAAACCGGAACCGGGACAAATCGGGGACCAGAGTCTCCCAGTTTCCATCAAACAGGACACGGGACTGGCGCCAGGGGTTATTCGGAAAGATCGGATATTACTCTGTACGTAACGGACCTGGTTAGACTTATGCACATTATGCCAACAACAAAATCCGTATCCCGCACATTCGACACTGGGAAGTTTTCAACAAATCCGGCTACGTCCACCGTTAGTCATACACGTCGCGTCACTGATGCTGCCCGCTGATACTCGACACACCGCTACCCAGCAGTCTAACACATGGTCAGGAGCGACATCTCCCGGGGACGGTGGCTCCCGCCGCGGCCAGCGCCCCTCTCTCCACCCTCTATACTCTGCCCGGGAGCGCGGACCCCACACCCCACGGCCGTGCTCCTCCGCCCGCCAACACATGCGCTGTAATAAATAGGGCCCGCGACCGCCGCTCCGCGCCGTATAGGGTTATCTCTCTGCACTAATAACAACTGATGGTATCGGACAACGCGAGCGACGCTGGTCGGTATTCTGAGCCATCGCATCTCCGACCGAATTAACTAACACTCAAACTCACCCACTCTCACATACCCACTCACTCACGCTTGGAGGTCCGTCGGAACGGCGCTGTCACTGAACGGGTAGGCACTGTCTTTGTACTCCTCACTCTCGCTGGCTGGCGCGCGGGGCAGTCCGAGCGCTGGCGTCGGCCGCTGCTCCGCCATGGCACGTGGTCGCGCGCGCGCGCGGCGGGAGCGGGGGCGGGGCGGGGCGGGCAGCGGGGCGGGACTGAGCGCGGTACGTATCGTTTGAGCACCGGCGGCCATCACGACGCCTTGCTTTTGGCCGCCTTGACGGAGGCCTGGCGTTGGAGTGCCTGGCGGGCGGCGGCGTCCAAGGATTTCTGCATCACCGTCTCGTAGACTGGCTTCAGACACTGTGGGGTGGATACAGACGGGTCAGGCTATGTGACTGATCAGACGAAACATCTTCAATACACTGTTGAACTAAACAGACGGGCATAACTGCTAAAACGACGGCATTAGACTTACTAGAGATCGGGGCTGAAGCAGTTGGACTGGGCAAACTATTGAAAAAAAAACATAAATAAGACTTCCTCCTCAGCTGCTGCATACAGTGTCATTCGTTCAAGATAGGATTTACCAGAACAACATGCAAACGGTTTCAGATTTCATGCCATCATACAGACGAAGACAGGGAGCAAAATTAATGGCGAATTGGGGTTTTGTGCATTCATGCAGCGCCCCCACCGCGATCACACTATCTGACCAACCATTTCTAGTGAGAGACGTAGGCCGACGGAGGAACAGGCGCGGAAGAGAGGATAGAGCACGAAAGGAGACAGGTGGAGTCCGCAGAGGCATGCCACGCAGGTTTGGAGTGGAGCAGCGTTTACCACGTCGTGTTTAGAGGCGCCGAAGCTGGCAATTTCAAACCGGCGTTAGTCAGAGGTGCATAAACAAAGGTGTACCGATTGATCATCCACGGAAAGGGGAAAGTATATCATTCGATTTCTGTAGTTTCTTTTTTAGCACAATGCGAGCAATTATAAGATACAGCAGCCATTTCACGTACAACTCCCGGTGACTGTGAAGCAGCCTGGCGGCCACTGCCGTCACCTCAGCTTCCCGTCTCGCCGCTAGATGTCACTCACGTTCTGCCAGGCCTGTTCGGTGAGCTCGTCTATGGTGGCGGCCAGTTCCGTGTACTCGCCGCTGTACCGGCTGTAGGCCCAGACTCCGACTGTAGCCACCAGCAGCATCATGGCCAGGTTACACAGGTTGGCCACCGGGTACAGCCCCACCAGGCTGAAGATCTGGGGGTGAACGCGGAGGGGACGGTCATAGACGGGTACAGCCCCACCGGGTACAGCCCCACCAGGCTGAATATCTGGGGGTGAGCACGGAGGGGACGGTAATACACGGGTACAGCCCCACCGGGTACAGCCCCACCAGGCTGAATATCTGTGGGTGAGCACGGAGGGAACGGTAATACACGGGTACAGCCCCACCGGGTACAGCCCCACCAGGCTGAATATCTGTGGGTAAGTGCGGAGGGGACGGTCACAAAAAGGGGCAGGAATGAGCGGGCTTTCAGTAGACACGCCAGGTAAAATATGTTGATAAAGATGAAAAAATCACACGAGGAGAAGGATGGGTCAACAATCAACCGAATACAAGGCAAGGACGGAAAAAGACTGAGCACATGCAGACTGAGTGACACGGAATAGTGACGGAGGCTAGGCAGTCTGAATATTGAATAATCACTAGATACGTCAACCCATACCCACCCCAGCCCTTGTAGCCGATTTTGAGGTCATATAGACCAGTATAATATTACCAGAAATCACGTCACTCAAATCACTAAGACAGTCATCAGGGTCAAAAAGCCAGGGAAGTCGCCTAGAACTCTGAATAAGTTGCCGACCCAATCAGGTCACTCCACCATCCACATCACTTACCCCCGACAGGATGTAGAACACCAGTGAGACTGAGAGCAGCACGGAGGGTGTGCGCGCCGCCTTGAACACGTTCTTCGAGTCGTTGTGGCCCTGGTACTGGATGTACTGCTCCTCCACGTCCTGACGAGACGGAGGGGACAGAGGTGATAAATGTGACGAAGAACAGAGAATGAAAGCGAGGAGTGGCGAAGGGGAGGAACAGAGAAGAAGAACATAATGAGGGACAGCGGAAATGGACGTGATGAGGGGAAGGAGGGCAATGACGTAGCTGCGAGGAACGGAGGGGAAAGACGTAACGGTGACAGGGAGCTGGACTTTTTAAATCGGAGATGGAGAAGGAATGAGGGTGCATCCTCCAGCTAATCATAGCAATGATGTCGAGCAACACGTCCTGGATAAGATAGTTGTTGGGTAATTTGAGTACCTACGGCTGATTTTGTGCTGAACACATATATGCCGAGTACAAAAAGCATATGGCACTTATGGATGTATTTTCTCTGATAAGCGCCTGAATGTGTCTGAAACTACGCAGTTGTAATATAAGATCAAGATTGCCACGTGTTCTTTGCCAACTTCGCTCCAAAGACGGCAGCACAGTGTAAAATATAATTATCAGAGCCAGAAGTTAGCTTATAATGCCCATGCAAACTTTAGCTATTGAACGGGCAGACGCGACAAAGTTAGCAAATTTGCATGAAAAGTCAGGCCCAAGCGGACCTCTAAGCTCAACACGCGACGGAAATGCGCAAACAGATTTATTTCAAACCTTATCAACCCAACCAACCCTGCTCCCTCACACTGACCCTTCTCCCCGGTTCTTCATGAATACCCCAGCCCAACCTATCACCTCATTTGCCCGCCTTCCTCCCATTCCCCTACCGTCCCTCTCTCCCTCCCATCTCTCTCACCTTCATGAGGCTCTCCTGGTAGCGTTCCGAGAACTCCTCGCCTCCCATCTTCCTCCTCGCTTGGAACACGTCCGTGGCGCGGTCCTTGGCTCGGAGGTGCTCCGCCTCCAGGTGTTCGGAGGAGAGGAACGGCTTGTCGCCGCCACATACCGCCTCCATCATGTGTGTGTACGTCTCCTTTGCGGCCGCCACCGCAGAGAGGTTGTTGGCCTCGGCCGTCGCCTGGAGGAGTAAGGGTTCGTTTTTACATTGTGTATCACCTCTAAGCACCGTTACAGGATCGATGTCAGAGTACAAAATATGGTCAGCATGCGTCAGTGTACAAACTACAAATACAATGATGTCGGCATGATATCCTCAATGTGCACAATTACTTTTTCAGTGCTGTCCAATGTCCACCTTTACTAAACCTAGCCTAGACCAGACTCCCACAAGCCATTCGGCCCCAAATCAGCGTCACAATATCCACCTACACCACCTTCTCCGTCTCCTCCCTTACCTCCAGCATGCTCTTGGGCTCCGGCAGTTCGCTGCCCTTGTAGATGTTCATGTAGGACTCGAAGTAGGTGACGAGCTCCTTGGCCTTGACTTTGGTGCCCGAGATCTCCTTGATGATGAGGTTCTCCGGCGCCAGCAGCATCGGCACCAGCTGCTCCAGGTGCTCGATGAAGTCGGGCTCGATGTCTGACGGTTAGGGAGACGGACTGAAGTTAGAAACCAACGATCGGGCGTACTGGGTATAGACATTTGGCGATTGCGCACACTGCCGGATTATGGATGAGAAGCACACATCTCTCTGACATGTTGGAAATAAGGTCGGCCGGGGTGAGTTCCGCCACTAAGGGAGCCGACGAGGAGGTCGTCTATGATGTGTTTGATTGGGCATATCCGGTTAGGGTGTGGACGGAGAGCTAGGAGGAGGTCAATTAATGGTGATGATAGGAAACGGACGGTACAAACTGAGATCAAATGGGGTGACGAAAGAGTATTCACAGGATCAATAACAAAAAAAAAAAAAAACGGTAGACTAGCATGATAAATATCATAAGAGCGTGACGAAGTACGACTCGATTTATCGTGTCGCTATTTTTCCTTTCTTTTTTTTTAACCCATACGTGAGATGACCTACAACCGAACGCACTACTAGACGGCATTGGAAGGGATTCGTAACTCCACGACGTGACACAACAATAGAAAAACGCGCTATTTATACGCACGGCTCGAAGCCCTGTACCACAGACTACGTGGCTTCCTTCGGTATGAGCACAACCACCCCCTCTACCCTCCCATCGGTCCTCTCTCCTGTCCGCTGTCAGACGCCCGCCCCTCCACTGCCTCTCCTGCCAGCCTCGTCACTCAACAGGCGCCCTCCCAGTCCCTGTACACGTCATCCCCTTCCATCCAGGACGCCCCTCTCCTATCCACCGCCAACTCTCCATTCACTTCCTCTCCTCCCATCCCTATTCTTCTCACTTCAGAGAAACACAGAAACACTCCCACCTCTGTCCACCACCCTCTCCCTTCCTCTCCACCCTCTCTCCCTCACCAGAGAGTCGGCCGTCAAAGTGCTGGTTGGTGGCCACCTTCAGGCCCGGGTGTGGCATCAGGAAGCAGCCGATCTCCTGGAAACAGCTGCGGATGTGTTTCCTCAGACTCTGCAGCTCCGGGTGCTGCTTGTCCGATACCTGGCGACATGTTCAGACAAACACACACACATGCGTGACGAGCGGAGGTCAGAGATGAGTCTGGGTTGGGACTGGTGGGGAGATGGAGGTCTAGAAATGAGTGCGACCATGGTATCCGCGTTGTGTAGAGCCAATTATTCCAGGCTCCACAAAAACCCAGCATGACGTGCATGGCTGTAACTTGTACAGTGGTCGGCCATGCACGTCAAAATTAGTCAAAAATACTTCCATCACCGGCGAGCATACTTCCACCACCGTGTTATGCCTTTCAACCTGTCGACCTGCCTGTAACTACTAACATAGACCGGCGGCCCTAGGCCAACTACGTCCGACGCTGGTTAAGTCCGTCCGCGCCGAAATTAGCGCCTGAGATTCACGAAACTGTCTATTCACAGATGACACGAAAATAATTTGAACACTAACTAAGCCATCTGATGCAGTAAGACTACGCACGGTTTATCATAGTAGGTAAATTATTTAAAAGGATGCATGAACTACGTTTAACGAATTAGAAGCGAAGCGTGCCCAAAAGCGAGAGCATGAAATTTACATAGTACGGTGAAACAATCATTCATAACATACTGATTTAACCGACAGTCCGATGATATTCACACTGAATAAGAGAGAGCATTCGTGCTTAAACTGATGTAATTGGATACCACTTACAAGGTCTCCAACAATACAGATTCAAACATTCAAAACAAATACGAAAACAAACGGAACGCGTTCAGGCCAAAGGAGGAGAAAGAGCGCAGGCTGCAGAAGCACAACAAAGCACAAACGAGAAATGAGTGAAATCATATGGAAACTCTGCACTGATAACCATGCAGATGCCGATGTTTTTGGTACGCACGCGCGCCCACCCCACAGCTGACCCGGACCGGTCCGATACTTAATTCCCGGTTCTTTAGCGAATTAGAGCGAATTCGCGAATTAGAGCGAATACCCTGCGCTCAACTATACTTTGTGCATTTAGGTTAGGTTAGATTGGTGCGTTATGGTCTAGCATAGGCAAGTCATGTATATCTGCATCGCGATCATCCCATATAACAGCCGAGTGCTGAGCATCTGACGAACTAGTCATTACAAAAAAAAAATATAATACCAGCATCAATCGATAAGGCACACTGACCTAATTGGAGCTGGGACCCGTTTCGAATGACCCTTCTCGGCCTTTCTCCCAGCAATCAAGCAGCTACCTCGCTCACAAGTTCTATTGAAGCACATGTAAGATAACTCCTCCCTCATCATCTCATGCCCATTTCCAGCACCCGGTTCCCGGCCAGACTCGCTGCTCAGTACAACCCAGTTTAAACTCCTCCCGGCCGGTGGGTGGGCGCGCGCGCGTGCGTGCGTGTCTGCCGCTGCTGCGGTCCGTCTGCCCTCCTCCGCCCGGCGCGCCTCACCCCCACCTGCAGACGTCGGTCCAGGATCTGTTTACCGCCCTCCGTGCCGTACGGAGCGTCGTACGGGAAACTCCAGTCGCGCACCAGGAACTGGAGCTTCTGGAACGGCGTGTGCGCGCTGTCCTCCATCGCCAGCCGGCCGTACTCGGTAAACAGCTGAAACACAACGGCAGAGCACGGTTATACAGCTGTCCTCCATCGCCAGCCGACCGTACTCGGTAAATAGCTGAAACACAGCGGCAAGGAGAGGGGTAAACAGCTGAAACACGGCCGCATTGCTCGGTAAACAGCTGAAACACAGTGACAGCACTCGGTCTACAGCTGAAATGCAGAGGCGGCGGTTTACTCGTTACGGGTAAAAAGCTGATTTCAGGTGGCAGGGCGGAATATGTTAACAGCTGAAACACAACAAGAGTATTCAGCCAGTAGCTGAAACACAACGGCAATACTCGGTTATGAAACACAACGGCCGTAATTGGTAAGCGGCCGAAACATAACTAATAACTACCGTACTCGGTAAAAGTCAGTAAATGAAGCACAGCGAAATAATGCAGCAGGGACTCTATTTGTAACATGATTCACGCACAAAGTAGGACAACCCAGAAAGGTGAACGGTCACTGCACGTAATTAAACACCCATTATCCCCTAAAAGTCACAGGATACGACCGGAACCTCCGCCCGCTCTCCGCTACGAGCCATGGCCACCGGATACAACACCAACCCTCTCCGACGTCACACTCCCTAGCCTGTGGCGTCACACTATGACGTCACACCCGCTCCCTACCTGGAGGTGCTGCAGGTCGTCCTCCTGAATGTTCTGCGACAGGTTGTACACCTGGACCGAGCTGATCATGGTGCTGAGGGCGAACACGGTGGCGCAGTCCTTGACGGTCGACTGGCTGTCGAACGCGCCCTGGGTGTCCATCAGAAGAATAACCACCTGGCGGCGACATGGGGAACTAGAGTTATACACTCGCGCTGCCTGGCGGTGACATGCGAAACTACAGCTTACAACACCACCACCTGGCGGCGACATGGAGAAGGAGCTCTTACGAATAAAAAAAGCTGGCTCTTACATATAAAATGTAAATTCGCTGACAAATGATGACAAATGACCAAATAAACTGCACGCAGTGGTTGTCGTCGTCACGCTCATGGTGACATATCACCAACGTCGATCAGCCCGTCAACGCCGGGCATTTCACGGAGAAGTTTCCCATATCCACTTTAACGTACGGCAAGCACCGTCGTCACCTCACCCACCTCCTCTCCATTAGTGAGTGTGACGGGGAACACCTCGGACCACACCAGGATGCCGGTGGTGTCCCTCTCCGAGCCGCCGCGCCATGGGAAGCCCCGCAGCGGCTCGTCGCGAGCACCCAGCCAGTCCGTCGAGCCCTGAGAATGGAAGAGGGGCGTGGGGTCATCTGGGTTAGGTGGGAGGTGTAGATGAAGAAAGAAAAGGAAAATAAAGTATATGCATGCCAGAGGCGAAGAGCAAAGGTAAACAAACGAAGATGCAGGAAGAGATGTGCAGAATGTGGCATACAAATATACGCCGATAAAAAATGTATAGCATAAAGTAACATTCAGATGTATAGAACGATTTAAATCCCACCACAAATTGCAAAGCAAGCAAGTGGCATAATTCAACTTGGTGCAACACCCAAACACGCAAATAACATCCAGTCATCGTAAACTCTAAGCTGTAGTCCGGCCGCCGGCCTTACCTGGGCGCAGAGGTAGCGGAGTAGGAAGTCCAACAGGAACGACTTGCCCTTCCTGAAGGCGCCGGCGATCGACACCACCACGATATGCTTGTCCTTGGTCTTATCCTTGGAGAGGACGCTCTCGAGCGCCTCCTTGTCCAAGTGGAACGTGTGGTCCCCCTCCTCATCGGAGGGCACTACTATTGGAATCGGCCGGCCCTGCATCGCTGCTGCCACCTACCGGCTGAAAACGCAAACAGAGGTTCCGCCGTCAGTAACCAGTTGGCAGCACGGCGGCCGGTTGTGACGGGGCAGAGGTGGCTGATTAGTGATTGTGGGCTGTCGGAAGCCTGCTGTAATAATGTCTGTGTGATTCTGGCTCGGCAACGGCACGCGGTCGGCCGGCCGATGGCGACGGCGGCGGGCAAGGAGTGGGCGGACGGCAAAACGAGAGGCAGTGTAGAGGGAGAGGGCGGGGAGAGTTGGGGGCGGGAGCTACAACAAAGGGACGGGGGCGGTGGACGGGGGTTGGGGCAGAGCGACAGCGTGGATAACAGGGCTCAGGGCAGAGGGGCGGATAGGGTGTGGGTGGGAAAAGAGATCTGCTGAGGTTGACGGCAATAGTGAACCACCTGCCGGCTGCCACCATCAGTCAGCAAGGGGAGGGCCAGGGTGAATGTGGGTGGAGTGGGGATGGGGTGAAGCCATGAATGCATCGACACTCGTGCCCAAATATGGCATCCCTCCGTGAGCCGTACCGTGAAGCAGCGGGGCTCGCTGCAACTGAGTCCAGTGGCCACAACGACGGGCCCATTTCGGTGGCAGCCTGGGTTGTTTGCAAGCTACAATGCTCAACCTACACTTAGCAGAGCGCAGTAGCAACCCGAAGCATAAATAATGCGAGCAGTTCGACTATGCATCATGCATAGCTGAAACCTGTGAAGGTTAGTTTGATTCTAGCGATAGATAGCTTTTTGTTTATCAACTCGAACGACCTCAAGTCGTAGACAGTAGCTCGGCAGTTTTCCTCGAGTGACGAGCACACAAAAAGTTTACACTCTGATTGGCCGCGCGGCCATGCGTCAAACGAACAAAGCTGAGTCCGATGTCGCACAAAAACTGGCCGGTTCAATACGCGGCCGCTCCTCTACACAGCAACAAACAGCAAACCAGCAAAATGTCCGGCCAAAGAGCAGTAGGCATTCCGTATTCCGTTCCAAGTTCCAAGGACGCCAAATTTAATTTCCATAACACATGGCATAATTGTGCCATTGGCGAATACCGCTGCTTATATTTCCAATATCCTCACCCCTGCAAGTTGAACGGCGAATACAAACGATCTAACCCTTGTGCCAAGATATCAATATGTCAACAATGTAACAATGTATCTGAGGACGATCGCTCGGCCCTTATCGTAAGTGTGCTGATTACCCACTCGGTAACCGCCACCCCTTATCAGGAGACAGTGGCATGGTGGTGGGACGGCCCGCCTCACATTGACCTCGGGGAGTGAGTGGCTGTCGTAACTACCGTGCCGTCGGTCTGTGGACGGCTACATTTCACACACCTCCACCCTCAACGCCGGGGCAGGAGAGGGTAGAGGCACGGACTAAACACAAGTTCTAACATACAGACACCCGATATAAGGACTGGCAATCGGCAAACAAAAAGGACTCGATGATACTGCTGTATGCTTTCGGTCCGATATCACGACAGCCACGGGCCGCCAGTTCTGTACTGCGAAAATGACCAGAGGAACAAACATTGCAGCCGACTCAAAACAATCATACGAACGTCCCGTGTCGAGAGCACGGCACCAGGTTTGTCTAAATTTCTTCGAGCAGCAAGCCCAGCACATGATCGGACAAAATATGCTGCATTGAGTCAATCGAAAGCTGGAGGCTCCCCTTCACCGTAGAAGACCAATGCTGAACCCAGCGCCGTGCCAGGCTTTAGATCAGCGATACCAGACCACGAACCGGCTCATCCGGCGTGGCCAGGATCAAACCGACAGTACAGCTAGTTGGAGCTTTCTCAGCTCTATGATGCTCTCTCAGCATACACAAGTCTCGCCGTCCCCTAGCCTGTCTCTGCGACATTCACAACAAAACCATCGGAAATTCATAGAGCGGTTCAACTCATGATGACCAGTGACTATCCCCACCATTATGAACCACAGTGCAGCATTCCACCATGCAATCAGCACAGTACGTCAGTGGGTACAAGCAGACCGCAACATTCCATACTGCGGACATCACTGCACGTCAGAGGGATGCCAAACCACATATACAGAACACAGACATCGCACACACCTGTATGAGTCACCTTACAGCGATGAAATCACAGAGACGGTGCCCGAAGACCCAGCCCTTTCCGCGAGCAGCCGCACCGCACCTGTGAAAGTTGCCTACGCGGCAGGGAGCGGTGGGCGAGAGCAGTGGACGGAACGACCGGCCCAGTGGCAACGAGGCATACGCATCTTTGAAAAAAGAGAGACAAGAGCCCGAGACAAATGATGATCGGAGCTGAGGATGACCTCTATCGGTCGTTTGGCCGTGTTGGCAGCGAGTCTGGTTTCCACATGAATAGGCAGATGGTAGGCGGGGTCAGCGTCGACGGATGGGCGGGGTGGTAGCCAACAGCTGGCAAGGTCAGGTGGCGGTGTTGAGCGGGTTGGAGTTGGTGCAGTATAACCAGGAGACAGTCACGCTGAATAAGTCACGCTGAAACCGGCAGGCGCATGGTTTTACGATTTCAGGACAAGGGACCAATACGCCCGGTATCTGCAGCTGAGACGTGCCGAGGAAAGTGATGGGTTAGCGCCGAAGCCACCGTGACCTATTGGCTACCATCATGTGTTAACATGGAGGTCACATGTAACAGCCGCGGATCGTGTCGTGAGGATTTTGAGTGGACACTTCAGAAGTATAGCCGATCAAGCGCCCGTAGCCCCGAACCATGCGAGCTTAGCCCAACAGCCGCAACAGTCGCCGAGTCTCCTAGTTTCAGAGGGACCGGCCTTCTGTGGTTTCTGGCAGCGGGCGGCAGCCGCCCCCGCCCCCGCCATTGGCGGTGAATCAGAGAGCCCGGCCGGCCGGCGGCCGACGTACAGAGAACAGACAACGGGAGGCTCAAACGCCGCGCCCGCATGGCAACGACTGAGAGGTCACGACTCGGAGCTGAGGCGCGGGGTGGGTGGAGGAGGCGGCAGTGAACAGAGCTTACTGAAAGAGTATGAAAGAGTTGCCATTGAATCGGCCAAATGTATCAGTTCAAAGATCAAAGCAAGCCTGAAGTTAGGCGGAAGACGAGATTCGACGGTCGATACAGGACGCGACCTATCGGAAGACTGGTCTGTGAGTTGGTTATTCAATCGGAAGCGATAGCTGTTTGCAGATCAAGATGAGCAGACAGTAGAGTAGGCCACTGAAGGTCCGATTCCCGGAAAACTGATCCACATTCACATAAAAACGGCAGCGATATGAAGCATAAACGAGTGGACTATGGCCACATCGACCTTCCACCGAGTTCATCAGAGCCTGAACATCACTGGTGAAATCAAATTCAATAAAACCGGCCCGGATGCCAGGCCCCTGTCGTTGCCACTGTTGCCGCCCTCCCCCCGTTGTCGGCTACTGGAGGGTAAGATATGGCCATAGGTGCCGATGTTTGAAAAGTCAGCACAAATCGCGCAGTGCGCCGTTCAGTCACTACGTCCACCGATACCAGCGCGCTCATCGTGAGTAACTATAATTGTCAAACAATGGTCCATTATCTAATCTGCTCGTCAGACAGACTGAGTTGAGGAGCTCGGACCTCGGCGAGTACCTACCACCCACCAAATTCAAACATTGAGCTGAATACGCAATATACCTACACATTACAGCCACTAGTTCCACCGGTGTGACTGCACAACTCTACTCCGAGTCGTATCTATGGAGGAGGAGCATACCCAACCGGGACTGACGACCTCTATCAGGATGCGACGGGATGGAAAGGGCGAGGGGCTGGCGATGCCGTGTCAGCGAGTATTGGCGCCGTGCGGGGAGGGGTCTCCGTCCATCCCACTATAGCGCGGACTATGGACCGAGCCGTACCACCGCGCGCCACTGACACGGACCGGTGATCATGGGAGGGGTCGGGGTGGAGATCGAGGCACTGTAGTGAGCGGTCGAGTTGGAAACGGGAACGGAAGGGGTGTGTGTGGGGTAAAGGCGTGGGCGTGATAGAGGCATGCCCTAAAACATCTCTACCCACGCACACAATCAATTTCCAGTAGCGAGGACAGGTAAGGTAACAGCTAATCAACACGCACACAGGGTCACCCCCGGGCGGGTTAAACCAAGGTTGAACGCACGGGCGACAGGAGCTGAGCAAAGGCCCACATCACCAACTGCAGTGATGGGTGGGAGGTAGTTGGTAGTTGGTTGGTAGTTGGATCATTTACGCGTAGCCCCTGCGGCACACGCAACTGCGTCGGAGGGACTAATAATGACGGGCACACACGAACACATGTACGCAGCAAGCGACAGAGGGGGGAGGCATCACATTACTTGGATAACGCACGCTACCCACAGGGGGGGGGGGGGGCGCACGTCACACGCAGCCGAGTCGGGCACAGGATAGGCGGCAGAGGAAATGACATTACCGGGGCAGAGCCATACACTAATGTAGAAGAGAGATAGGGAGGTAGAGAGAGGGAGAGAGAGAGAGAGAGGGAGAGAGAGAGAGAGAGAGAGAGAGAGAGAGAGAGAGAGAGAGAGAGAGAGAGAGAGAGAGAGAGAGAGAGAGAGAGAGAGAGAGAGAGAGAGAGAGAGAGAGAGAGAGAGAGAGAGAGAGTTGAAATGATAGAAAGAGAAGAGAGAGGGAAGAGCAGATAGGATGGATTATTTCAGAGCGGCGATCAAGGACAGAGGACCGGACACAGAATGATCTCCGCCCCGACCGACCACGCCGCCGACCGTCACCGACCGGCAGAGCGACTGAGGGCTGCCAACTTGGACCGGCTGACAGTGACGGCGCTGCCAACACGGGTCCGCCGTCACCGGCCGGCCGGCCGGCCTGCAGCCTACACACGGGATATTTGGGGTGGGAGCGCCGACACTCGCTAATAAAACGCGGTAAGAGTATAAACAAATGACCATTGACCAAGCCCTTGAAACCGCCGCGCCAGTAAATACGGTTACCGTTCCCGCACAGGTGAACTTGCGAGGTTTGTAAGTAGCGATGTCGATCGCCTAGTTCCACCAAAATAGTGTGGAATTACAACCAATGGACGGGCATGAACCAGAAACGCTCCACTCGGTGTACGTGTTGCAGGCAATTTAGAAAATCAGTCATTTTGTAAAATGCCTAGGCATTTTACAAAAAGACGGCTGTTTGAAAAATGACTGAACGCAACCAGGCTTTTTTCAAAATGGCTAGCCATTTTACAAAATGACTAGGCATTTTGCAAAATGCTTGACCAGCATGGAACGTAGATCCCACTACAGATACTATGGCCAAAGTTTTTGGACGTCTTCCTATACCCTATAGGTACGTGTTCAGCCTGTAGCTGATCGATTTGAAGCTCTGTGATAACGACAATGCTGAGTAACGACCAGGTTGAGTTGCAGACTCGGCTGTAGCATAAAGCATTGTTTAGTTAACGCTGTAAAACTCCCAAATACATCAACGCCGTTCATGTTCTGCCTGAAACTAGACCTAACAAAACCAGCCGGAGACCGGCCCTAGTCAATAGGCAGGCCCGATTGATGTACAATTACATGTAAACGAATGAGTGTAGTCTTTGTTTGATTGTGCCATTACGGACAAAACTGCATTATGTATTTGGACATTAAAAACACGTTCGAATTTAATTATAATTTCCCACTCCTCTCTCCTCACATTTTAACACGCGCGGTGGAAGGGGGGGGGGGGCGGATTCGCTTGGCGTAGGACGAGAGCGTTGGTTTCAGAAGACACTAACGCCTAAGTGTGTGGGATCGAATCCTCGCGACCTCTAATAGTTTTACAGATACAGGCCGGCATAGGGCTAGTCGTTTGTTGACGCTCCAGATCGATCATTTTAAATCCAGCAGCGTCGCTGACTTGGGGGTTGAAAATGTCGCGGGCCTGCACTTTTCAAAATAGAGGTAGGTATGGACTTCCCACTGCTGGACTCCTCTGGTTTGTCATAATGCTGGACTCCTGGGTCCACCTACACGCTACCAAAACGTATACATATAATTAGGTACTCGTATCTACAACACACTGCTCAGTCATTTTGTAAAATGGCTAGGTATTTTGTAAAATGCCTAGGCATTTTGCAAAATGACTGGAGAGTCAGTCATTTTGTAAAATGCCTAGGCTTTTTGCAAAAAGCCTGGAAAATCAGACATTTTGCAAAATGCCTAGGCATTTTACAAAATGACTGATTTTCTAAAGTGCCTGCAACATACGCATTCCAAAGCACGTAGTGAATGCCACTCCACCACACACAGAGCCCTATTAGACCGGTGCAGATTGTTCCGAAAATTTACAAGCACACGCCACGTCTGGTTCCGTCCGTTCACCAACAAACGCTGCGACTTCCACCAGCTGTGAGCCGTCACTCTGTTTGCCAAACGAGGTCAGCCTGACGGCACGCCCCGGCATCATAAAACGGTGTGAACCGAGCTTCACCGCACCTCTAAATGTGGGAGTGGGAGACGCGCCCTGTGGCACCGCTGCCGCCTCATTCCCAACCGCCAGGGTCGGGTCGTCTCCCCTGACTCGAACCGTGGAGCCACAAAGCCACCGGCAGACGGTATCACCGGCCGGGTCACGACGAGTAACGAGGCTGGCGGGGAACGTGTCGGAATTCGCCCTGCGGGAGCCGCGGCGGAGTGAGGGCCGGCCGACACTGGAGGCGGCGCGGACCACGTGCCAACTGCTGACCGTGACGATCCGACCGGGAAGGGAGGAGAGGCCGCTCAGCTACTGGTATGATCGGAATGGTATGGCCACCGTCGCACGGTGCCATGCCAGGTAACTCATGGTTGGTGAGGTAACTCCCCATAGTTATTAGTTAACTCACCAGAAAATGGCAGAATGACGTTGAATCTCACCAGATGTTCACGCTTGGAGTCACTGACACTTCCGAGTTGCAAGTTTCAGTAACCACTACAGAACGTTTCACTCCGACACTCTGCACCCGGGCACTCAGCCCCGCCAGACGCTCACTTAGCTCCACTTCTGGCCTCGGTCGCCACAATCGTCCGCACTCCTCTCGGCACCTCTCCTAGCATCCACTGCACGACCACTGCTCGCCCGCCGGCCGGCCGGACCGCCACAACCGCCGCCCACTTTCTCCGACCGGCGACCACTATAGAACAAGTCTGCGAGACGCGCCGCCCGGCACTGCGCTCCGCGCCGGCAGAGGCGGCCGTCCGGTCCCGCCGCGTTCTGTCGTCTCGCGCGGCGCTGTATTTCGAGCGGCGCGGCCCGCCACTTGGCTATAGATAGCCGGCCGACGGTCACAGAGCCGAGGTGGACCGTCGGGCGGAGCTCGATATCAGCTGGTGAGGGGACGGTAACGAAAGGCGTATCGTACACAGCCCCGAGAACCGGTTTGACTAGCATGGCACGGTGAAGGTCGAAGATGCAGCGTGAAATACCGGAGCGGGTGCACCGCTCTGCTAACCCAAACTGGCTTGAATAACTGTCAGTCCGTGATCAACAGGACACAAATATCAATATAAAGTCCCGATGATTCTTCAAAATCCTGTCAATATGCTTGCAACGAACAGCTACCAGACATCAAACTGTACAAGTTTTCCATCCTCGGCTAATGAATACGTCACTAGTTTCCTAACAAGGTCACAAAGTACAATCTGCCCCATCCCCTCCCCTTGCCCCTTCTCGCTTCATCCGTCATCGTTCCTACCCGCCGATCGTGACCGAATGACGTCAAAGGCGGGGGAGGCAGGGGGTGATGGTAGATGCCCGAACCGTGCAATAGGGGTCGGCACGGCACGGGGTAATGGGATGTCGCAATGCGCACTGATCATCAGATGCGGTAGCTCTGGAGTAAACCAAGTTGCAGTGACATCGAGAGTAAACTGAGCAGCAGTTTGCTCTGGAATGTGGTTGCAGGTTGGGTGGACTCATTTTCTTCCTATTTGCATGATGTCTGTGAGCTTTAGAAAAGAGTCTATTCTTAATAATAATGATGCATTAATAGCACATATCACTATCCTGTCATGCCAAGTGTAAATAGTAGGTATCAGCTCTCAGAATAAATCTCCAATGACATTGCCCTTCATTTTTATAAAAAAAAAAACTTTCGAAATGCATAGGTAGGTATTAGGTAACAACTATTGCTGAGCAGTCTTCGACTACCTAATGGAAGACTTGCATTTCTGTTGCCACTTAGCTGACTGCAAAATGTTAATCAAACATGAATTATGATGGTTTCAGGCTTCAGCATTAATTGTTCATCCTTAAGCCACTGATGTAACCACAATAAGTAACAACAAAAAATATATTATATATGTACAAACTTCACCTCCCATGACAGAAAAAAATAAAACAAACTATGTACAACAAAGCAAAAACACACAAACAACTACCTAGCATACTCAGCTTATCAAAAGTAGGTATCTATTCTTTATGAAGTGTTGTTAACAAGTGATCAGATTCAGCAATCAGAAAGCACTACAATAAATGTCACTTTAAGTCAATCTCAAAGAGCTTTTAATTTGTGTGAGAATAAGGCACATTCCACCACATAAGTGACTTGGACTGAAAGAGAATGGCACCAAAGGATACCAATCCAAAGAAACACTGCAAAAAGTAATCCATTACAGATATCTTTTAAAAAAATGCACAATGAAATATGCTGAGGCATCCACAGTTTTCCATGGAGTTCAATATTAACACTTATTAATGGAAAGCAGCCAAAACAAAAGGCACCCTTCCTTTTGGACAATGAGATGAAATGCCTTGAAAAATTACCACCTTGAAAGTTGAACATGCATATGAAATGGTAAAATAATAACAGCTCTTACTGATACACTTTCTAAAAATACACAAATAAAATAAAATTCAAACAAAACAAATGACATGTGGGCTACTAATCCTTAGCAGCACTGCAGCACTTTAGCAGCACTGTAGGTAAAATTAATAACAATAAAAAATTGTACAAAGCTCATCTTTTATGGGTATTTGCTTGAATCATTAGATTAATAGATAGGTAGGCAGGGGCGGCGCCACGGGTTTTCGATAGGGGGGGACGGGGACCGAAAATCGAAAATCCCAAAAGTAGATACTGATCGTGTATGCAAAAAAAAAAAAAACGAGGCACGTAACGCCGCGAAACTTGGCAAGGCCCAAAACACATCGAATGGTGCATCCCGTTTCCAAACTTATCCTAGGACACCTAAGATCGATCACCTTTTCAATCATCCTTGCCTCTAAATCAAAATTTGCAGTCTTGCCAACTCAAAGCTGGTTTCCTACAAGCTGCGAATTGCTTAGGTATGAGTAGCAGTGCCAGCTGTTCTTACGTTTCGTACTTTCAAATTTTCGATCTTACGTCTGGTCAGCTTCAGGGCTTCACCATCATATAGTCATGTCTTCTGCTCTGACAAGTGCGCCAAAACTGCAATATAATTTCAGAATCATGACATCACCACCTGATCCATATGCAACGGGCAGGGTGCAGCTAATGGCTAGCCGTCAGTGGTCATGTCATCGGTGGTCACTCAAAAGGCCATGCTAGGTCATGGAAGGTCACCAGCCGTTATTTGATCACACTTTCTGATGGATTTTACTTGCCAAGAGCTTCGCGGGAAAAACAAGCGCATGCACCGTTGAAAAAAAATTGAGTGAAAGGGTCTCAGGTCCGGCGACCTCTGCAGGTGAAATGCCCCAGGGTAGGATTCCGGTGCTTGTTGATTAACTTCGTCAAAAATGGCAGTAGAGCTGTGCTGTCGGCACCATTGTGTTCGTCATGATCGAGCTGGCACGACCTGCATCGTTCTCATATTCACCCTCCAATCGTAACAACTACAGCAGGGATTGGCAAATGGCGGGGCAACCCCTTTGGGAGGTAATGAAGGTCTCTGGAAACGTCATCCCACATCTCTTTAGCATTAGTGGCTCTCCTTATGGAACAGGTTTCTTGACTGGTCTGCTTCACCCCAGAATTCAAAGACTAGTCAAGGTAAAACCGAGCGCACCACAGTGAGCACAATTTGATAAGCTGGTGTATCTCAATTTTCATGTAGAACCTTTCACGTATCACGGACCTAAAACCCTTTCGTGCACTCATGCAAAAGCAACTGCCATGTTTCAACAGCTGGTAATGGCATTTTCACAGCCGCTGACGTAAGAAGGGGAGGGATGGGGGCTCGATTAGACCCCCAGCCGTTCGACCGCCGACCGAACTTAGTTTTGCAGAAAAAAAACGAGTGCTATCGAACCCCTTGACGAGAGGGAGCCGATGCTATATCCAATTATAAGGTCTTGGGCTACTGCGTGCTTTTTTGGTCCTGCCTGTGATCTATCCGAACACTTCTCCCCACAGGTGCTGGGGTTAAATGGCATAGATTTCAAATGGTTCCTGTGGTAGAACTGCCATGCTTGAATTTGACTAATTAGGAATGGAAAATTTTCATATAGTAACGGAAATCTATGGAATTTCAGTGAACTTGGTTTTATCGGCAATGGGGTCTGGCAGTGGGGTGGGGAGGTAATAAGTAATAACCCTGCCTGGCGCCCCAAAAAGGGGGCACGATCCCCGAGGCCCTGCCGATCACCTTATAACTACAGGCATCACAGCTCCACACCTTTTGCAGATGGCCAGGACCCCCTGCGATGCATCCCAACAGCAATCTCTATTCAGAACCTGCCTTGATTAACCAACGATGCATTAAATGCGACGGAGAGCTCTATAATGCATTAATATCAACTATTGAACGGGCCTCGCCGATAGGGGGGTACTGTACCCCCCTAACTTTCGATAGCGGGGGACCTGTCCCCCCCGTCCCCCCCGGTGGCGCCGCCCATGTAGGTAGGCATTAATCTAATGAACAAACCACCTGAATTCGACCAATGGAGCCAAGAAGTAGCAGCATGCTCGCAGCCTGCTGATAAAAACTGTAACCGAACAGCACCCGGGTAAATGGGTTTTCATTTTCAAAGTGTGACGAGTGTTAGAGGTTTATGAGACTCCCGACAGGTATGGCTGCGGTTGGTGGCAGGCTGTGGCTAGGCAGTCAGCCAGCAAGGGACTGGCTGTACATGGCTATGTGCACACATTTAACTTCAGACTCCAATTTCTGCCATAGATCAGGAATTGCATGATCAGAGGGTAGAGGGCAGGGCCAATGCAGCAAGCTTGGCTTAGCAGGGGCTCTGTCCTTGAGAATCCTTCCATTCAAAAGGTTTAGACTTGACATAACAGTAAAAAATAGGCAATGCACAGAGCCCTTTGATAAAGGTCAGATTTTCACCTTTTTCATTCCAATACACGGCAATCTGCAAAGTGCAACATGTAAATTTAGTTAACTAAAAATCATCCCACTTAAGGTAACCAACTGACTAGGGGGAAACAGTGAAATGACCTACCTACCTTATGCCAACTAGCCTCCCGAAATAGAAACGCACAGACTGAGACGCTACTGTTGCATGCACTAGTTGCAAACCGCAAATAAAAATTCGCTGTTCGAAAAGCGAAGTAACTTGACTGACCAAAAAGGAGCGCGGGAGCTGATTGGTCAATATACTGCTCACTAGTTTGATGATACATAAACAACGCTTACGAGACGTTTATAAATACCCCATCATCTATTTAGTTTTTGATGACATCATTAGTAAACGGTTATCAAAAACTATTGATCGCCGTTTATTTCGACCAGAAATAGTGTTTACTTCAATTTATAATACAATATTCTATTTTGATCAAATATGTTTTACTTCAATTAAATTTACCAAAAATAACTTTGCAAAAAACATTCAACTTGCTAGAGAAGTAGAAACTACTACGTCATTCGAAAATTAACTCGTTTTTTATGTTAAACCTTGAACAGATGCTTCACGGATAGAACAGCAAATTACCGCAGATTACCTAGGTACTTGTGCTCGTATAGGCGGCCGTGGTTGGTTATATAAAAGGTTTGTTTGGTTTGTAGATCAAGAATGAGATGAAATTATTGTAAAATTAGGTCGACTTTGTGATCTTGAGGAGGTTGAGCTCGAGGGTTGCTAGATTCCCTGGCTAAATTGAAGGCTTTCGGTGGTCTGAGTCAAGTTGAAGTCTGAGTCTTGGGGCTTGGGCCTGGGCGATCTCACCTTGTCTGCGTCATTTATTCTGCATTTTATAATCTTCCTGTATGATCTCATGATCTGGCTAATCAAATCAGTATTTCATTATTCAGATTCATTATCATCTTTTTTCATCCACCTAGCCTATTCAGGTAATTTTAGTTCTCTTACATGGTTGGGTTCCCACTTATGTCGTAAAGAAAAAGGCTGGGTAGGAAGGACTGAAAGAAATCGGAAGGACAGTGGCGGATCCAGGGGGGGCAAAATGGGCATTTGCCCCCCAAGCGGCATAATTTTAACATTACGCCTATGGACGATGCATGGAAAGAATAGATAAATTGTTATGGTTTGCCCCCCCCCCCAAACCTCTGAGCTGGATCCGCCTCTGCGAAAGGAACACTGAATGCCAGATCTGAGGATGAGCCAGATGAGATGCACCAGCCCGGTAGCAAATTCTTGACCATTGCTTATATAGTTTGTATAGTTTGTGGTGGATCATATCAGTTGTGCCTTGCTAACCCACGCAGGACTGGGGGGGCTCTACAGAGCCCCCCTCCCGTTTTTCAGCAATATTTTCTAAACTGTTTGACGGATCAACACGAAACTTGTGGTACCCTCAGAGGCATCAATTTGACACGTTGTGTCAAAATTTCAACTTTCTTGCTACCATAGTTTGGCCGGAAATGACGTCAGAGTGACGTCATGTCGGCCGATTTTCATGCAAAATACTGAATTACGGCAAACGCTCTCAAGAGCTCAGTTTTAAAGCTAGATCCATTTTCTTTGCATGAGTGGACTACAAATACACGTAGCTATCAAACTGCTATCTCGAATTTTCGAAATTTTGAAAATTTGGAAAAACATGTATTTACAATTCCAAAAAAATATATTTTTTGATTTAAAAAAAATTGACTTTTCGCAAAAACCGGAATATATGTGATAGAACACAGACTGATGAACTACCTTTGCAAGTTTTAGCCCAATGTCTTCAAAAATAGCCAAGTTATTCGCATTATTGTCAAAATTTTACAAATTTATGTTTTTTTCAAATCCATTTTTCAGTACGTTTTTGACGTCGTGCAGCAATATAAATGGCACCATCGTGTTCCTGAGCTCAAACTGCATCTGGTAGGCACCTTTTTGTTGAAAAATTTCATTTTCAAAATTTGACCTTTTCTGACCTAAAAGTGACCTGACCTCCGGTAAATTCAGCTGACAATGACCTCAAATGACACAGACGACACTATTTTCGAAATCTACGAGTAAAATGGGCCATAAAACATGCGTCACGTGACCGATACATGATATAAAATTTTCGTGACCTAGGATGACCTGGCCTTGACCTTAAAAATTCGAAGTAAAAGTTCGGTACCCTCAGGGTATCTAAGTCATCCGTCAAGGAGTGCGTAAACCAAAAATGAGCCTGGTCGGACCGGCGGTCCGGCGGTCAGAGCCTAAATTGTGAACTAGCAAAAATGTCGATAATTTTTAGTTTGACCTGACCTGTGACGTTATCGGTGACCTCGAGGTCAATGGAAATAGGTTTCGCTCGGCAGTTTTTCCAGGGCTATCAGACGCCGTTTGAATTTTCACTATCGGCCCAGTAGTTTCGGAGATAGGAGGGCGGCTCTGTAGAGCCCCCCCCCCCCCCCCCCCAGTCACTCGCGTTATGGAAAATACCCCAGTCATGCGCGGGTTAACCTGTAGAAATTGAGGGCTCAGGATGAGATGACAAGCTTGAAAGTACTCTGTGCACTGCAGATCAAGCTGCTGCACTTTGCATGCCCTTAGCTTTGATCTCCATGAGTGATGTGATATGTTCACTGCAAATTGTAAGACACCTAATTTTAGTGAAATCAAATTTTGTAAAGATTATTGAAGAATTCACAAGCAGAAAATGTAAATTTGAAGCTTGGATTTCATTAGGATGATCTTTTAATGAATAAGCTGCCTATGAACTTGCTTGTATTACCTGTTTATGAGAATGCTGCTACCATTGTGTTTTTTTATTGTTTTACTTTTGGTAGTACACAATTAAAAACCTGTGCCATTCATGTTTTACAGTAAATTTGAACTTGCTGGGTACCAGTGATCTGGATTTTCTACCAAGAAGTGAATTGAGTCAAATCACAAACAGCAAGTGATCCAGGAAGAGCACTAGATCAAGCTGCAGGAATGCTTCATGAGCTTCTGCTGGCCCTGGAGGGCTGCCCAGGAAGCCTGTTTACGCTGAAGGAGGACGACTCTATCCTGGTCGATGGCTCCCTGCCATTCTTCAACCCGAGCGAGCGCAGCCTGCTCAATGAGCTCTGCTCTCTGGGCACCTGGTACCGACACGTGCGGACCTTCATCGAGCGTCAGCAGGCGGCCGATGAGAGTCCTGGCCAGTATGTGCGCGCGCTGTGCGGCGCGCTCGACCAGGCCACCGCCGACTACGAGGCCTGCCTGCAGCGGCTCGAGGAGGATCTGCTGGCCGACCCGGACCTGGGACTCGCCTACGTGTACCACGCCGTGCAGCCGCACGCCGGCCTGCTGCGCGCGCTGTCGCAGCTGCTGGCCGAGCTGACCCGTCTCGGCGCCACTGGCTGCCGGGTGCTGGACGTGCTGCAGCGGCACACGGCGGCGGCGGTGGGCGACGAGCGCCGCCACCTGCAGCGCGTGCTGCAGCGCTGTCACCGCGTGCTGCTGGCACAGCTGTCCGCCTGGCTGCTCTACGGGCTGCTCTCGGACGCCGGCGGCGAGTTCTTTCTGCGAGAGCGGAGTGTTAGCGAGACGGACGGCGCGGCGCTGGGCCGACTGGCGCGCGCCGCGGCCGCCGCCGAGCGCCAGCAGACGCCGCTGGTGGAGTTTGAACTCGACCCGGAGCTGCTGCCCTCCTATCTCCCACTGAGGCTGTGTCAGAGCGTGCTGTTTGTCGGCAACTCGATCCAGATGTGCCGCCAGAGGGTGGAGCAGCGAGTCGAGGGGGCGGCCGGCGTGCCCCTCTCGGGTATCGTTAGTGGACACGAGAGCCAGTTCGCTGCCGAGTTCGAGGCACTCTCCGCCGAGCCGACTCTGTCGCCGCTGCGCCTGGAGAGACTCGTCAATCGCATCAAGACGCTGGTCGCCAAGCATCTGTGGAAGGTGATTGTAGTGGAAGCCGGCCTCAGCCAGCACCTGAGTGTGATGAAGGACTTCTTCCTCATGGGGCGCGGAACGCTCTACCAAGAGCTGTTCATCGAGTGCGACCCGCTGCTGCGTGCGCCGCCCAAGGCGCACATTGAGACAGACATTAACGAGGCGTTCGCGGTGGCGTGCGGACGGGTCGGCCTGGAGGACGACTCTGTGCTGGAGAGCCTGTACCTGACGCTGGCTCCGGGCCCCGAGGGCGCATCGGGCTGGGACCGGCTGAGGATCAACTACGCCGTCCGGTGGCCGTTGCACCTGCTGTACACGCCGACAGTGTTGGCCGGCTACAACGACATCTTCAGCTTCCTGCTGCTGGTCAAACGGACCCAGCTGATGCTGGAGCGACTGTGGGCCGACCAGATGGACCAGAAGAGCGGCGGTGGTGCCGGCCGGATGGCCACCCACCAGCTGCGTGCGCACATGTCTTTTTTGGTCAACAACCTGCAGTACTACCTACACGTGGACGTGCTGGAGTCAGAGCACAGCCGACTTCAGGCAGCCGTCGCCGCTGCGGAGGACTACGAGCAGCTGCGGCACGCGCACGACTGTTTCCTGACGGCCGTCAGTAGCCAGTGTTTCCTGCAGTCGGCGCCGGTCAGCGAGTGTCTGCGTGACCTGCTGACTGCCTGCCAGGAGCTCTGTCTGGCCATCCCCGAGGGCCGCGAGTTGGCGCCGCTCCAACAGCGGCTGCAGCTCAAGTCGCAGCTGCTCTTCAGGTGAGCAGAGTTCGAGGAACAGGAGTCTTTTGGTGACTGGAATTTTTCTGACAGTTTTGGTGTTAGAGCAGGGAGTTTGAGACTAAAATAGAAAGGGAAATTTGGGACTTTTTCTAGGAAAGATGCCTTTGCACAAGTTCCTGATCAGTTTTTCGCATCCTCTAACTATACAAGCATCGCTCATTCTCAGCCCTGAATTTGCTGGCCCCTTGGCCTACGAAGGATTTATCCGACCTACCTGAATCGCGTTATTTGGGCGATCTCCTGTTGCCGGTTGGCAGCGGCTCGGTGGGACGGTAGGCGGGCGAGCGGAGGCAGGTCCGCGGTCGTACACACCTGTTGCCGTGCCGTCTGCGGCGTGCGGTGCACATGGGTGGATTTTAGCCGGTCAATATATCGACCCAGATCGAAAGACGAAATGCGCGGAAGCCGCGGCTTTGTGCGCTACACCGGCACAGGTGCCAACCAAAAACACCGGGTGCCCCCCCCCCCCTCCCTCTCCCTTCGGTGACGAACTCTGCCATGTGTCAATTCACATATGGTAGCCCGTAGACAGTTACGATAGTCCATAGTGATTGGATGCTTTACACTTCAACACAACGTTGTTAATATTTTTCGACTCTCAAATCCGATTGCACGGCGCTTGTCGAAGAAACAGACATATATTGACTTCTCTTTTGGTAAGTTCTAAACTGCACGGATTTCCGTCTTTGCCTCACACTATTTTCATAGCTACCATGACGTCATAAGTCGCTAATGTTTGCCAGTATTGTCACCTCAAGCAGAATTTAGGTCGGCGTAGACCATCAGTATAGCAATATTGGCATAGACCACCTGTGCAACTACCGCTTAAGCCGCCGCGGCGGCAGGGGCGTGGCCAAATACTGCCGTGGGGGGTACAGCTAACAGCTGGTGGGCGCTTCTTACATCCTTGACGACGGGCGTGTTTATGTGCTTTTCCAGTGTGTGCCTTCGTTGTCTGTCGGCTTCTTTGGATGCCAAATTTGTTTCGTATCCTAGAGCCCTTGAGGAGCCACCAATGTGCCACGTTATCGAAACCCTTGTCTGCCTGGTGACCACGGTCGATATTTGCCGTGTTTCAGAATCCTGAGCAGCCTCAAGGACCAGCGGGCGGGCAGCCATCTCTCCCGTCTCCTGCTGAGGATAGACTTCAACCAGTTCGTCAGTCGCGGCATCTAGTGTCAACTGGATGTGATCGCGCTGGATTCCACGCCACGTTTTGATTACGTCAGTGGTCCGTGATAATGTGATATGCGGCGGCCAAGAATGACGGACAGTGGCGTATCGCCAGAAGCGCTTCCTTGGCGGAGAGCTCAGAGCAGTGATGCTTGTTGTCTGCACCATGGCTGGCGTGAGATCTTTCGCTCTTTTCCGTGAAGCCGGTACGTGAACCTTTGCCACAGTGTACAAGTAGTGCTGATAGCATGAGGTCAACCTCCTCTAACTTCGCTAAGCTAATGAGGGACCTAAGATGTAGTAATGCTGCTGCTCATAATGCATTCCGTGATTGATTTGTCATGACATGTATGTGTACTCGCATTGGTTGTGCTAATAATGTAACATTTGTTTCTGCTATCGAGGATTGTTTTTGCAAATATCTTATTTTTACCTGATCGTGCCGGAAAGGCATGGAAGGATTAGTCGGTCAAACCGCAGAATGAATTATATCTAATCAAAGTAGTTGGCAAGATTGTCCGCTCGGTAAACCGAGTGTCATAACTCAAGACAAGGATATAGCTCATAATCCCCTCGCTCTCGCTCCTGGGACTGCCGGAGTGCTTTTCGCCGACCTAAATTTGCCAAAGTAGGTATATACATGAGGCTCTTGGCAAAGCATATGGATTTTTAGGGAACGTTTTGTAATGAACGGAACATCGCATTTTGTTTCGGGCGTTGCAGGCCAGGCGCTTGACTCATCGCCAACGAATGCCACTGATTTGCTGATGGCACAGCATTGGTTTTGCCGCGAAACAGAGGTTACCGATGATCCAAGACCAAAACTGAAAGCTTGGGGTTGCCAAGGCGGTGCTCGCTGCAGAGCTTGGCTTCACCCGTGAATTGCCATTTCCGTCAATCTAGTGAGAAGGTTTGTGAATATTAATATGCTGCTAGATTGGGTGGATTCAAAGAGGATTGGCGGACATCGAGTTCCCTTCATTAGCTTCAAATTTGGTAGGCGGATAAGTCATATATGGAAGCCAAGAATTGCTGTAATTTTGGCGCATATGTTTCAAACAAACTTATTTTTCTAATGTTCTTAATGGGAAGTTTTGCTGCTCATGCTCTTAAAACTCACTTGCTATTAGTCACTGACCGCATTTTCTGCTCCTACAAATATTTGCCTACGAAATGAACACAAGTTTCTTGCAGCCCCAAATTTTATCTTGTCTGTAAATAATAGACATTTCTAAATTCTAAGGATATTTCCATTTATGTAGGGCTAAATGCGACAAGATTTTATCAATTGCATGTGAATCCTTCATACCAAATTATCATTGATCATGTCTTCAAAGCTAAAACAAGAAAAGCAAGAGAGCCTGTTGAAGACTATAGATGTGCAGAAGGAACAGCTGTCCCGTTATGAATCCAGACTGAAAGGTACTTTTTTGCAATTGATTTATGACTTTTTAGGCTCAATATGATCAGAAATAAAATGTTACTTTGTTATGTAAAGGATTATTTTCTAATTTTAATTTCAGACGAAATAAATTTTAAATAAAATGTTTGACGCGGTAGCTTATTACGCATCGGCCGATCATATTGTGTAGTTCAAACCTATGCACGCTGCATTGGCTGTAAGCAGTATGCTGATTGGCTGATGATGATGTGACTGCATTTCTCAGATTTTTGCTTCATACCTACCATATGCATAAGACGTGATGGAAAGTTGATATTTTTCACTTACCTATGTCAAAGTTTGTTTGTTGGAGAGTTTCTTGGATTATTACTTGGACATTGCATAGATAATTCATTACATATATAGGCTATATTCCTTGTTCTGTGGCCAAAGACATGCTGTTCTCTTTTCTGTGTTACCTATAGTTATTTATTGCATTATTATTTTTTTAAGATCTTGTTCGGGCATACAAAAGCCTCAATAAAGAGAAGGAGGCCCTGGAAGCTAGTTTGAAAGTTCTATCTACAAGCAAATCAGGACAGTCATCAAAGTCATCAAAGAAGCCAACAGACACCAAAGATGGAGCTGAAAAGGAAAAGGTGAGTGGGAAATGATGGAGGAGTATAGCACTGAAGCTCAGGTCAGTTATTGGAAAAAGATAATGGATATTCTCTCAAATTATTGTTAATCCTAACAATTGCAGAGCTAGTCACATTAAATGGTCTTTACATTGTAACAACTGCAAGTTAACATGGCTTTTCTCATACTTTCCATGCAGGAGAAAACCAGTGAAGATGCTCAGTCTCAGCTGGCCACAATTACTGCTTCCATGCAAACTCTCCTGGAAGAAAAATCCAAAATGGAGAATAACTACATGGCAGATCGAAAGGCCATGAAGGCTGATCTCGATAAGGTAAAACCTGAAAACCTACATCTTCTTTCTCATTTACTGTTCAGTTACAAGCCAAAAGCATGCAATATGAGCTCAGCAGTCAGCTGTGAGTGAAGTTCTTGTAGGTACAGGGACCCGCAGTTGCTACTGTACACATATATTACCAATTTAGAATTGCGCTATTATTTGCTAAGTGCTAGCCATTGAAGAAAGGAAATGTAGCGCAAAGTATGGAGGAATAACACATGTTTGCTCCTAGCACGTATGTTTTGCATAATTCCTCTTACCGCAACAGATATTCTTCCAAAACTACAATCGTGCTATTTTTCCGCGCCGGTTGCCTCCCCAGAGCCCGTCCTTGGTATCGCCTATAGCTTCCGTTCCCGCTACGTGAATGAAAGTCACGTGACTACTACAGGTTTGCGCTCAGTACTAACACACCTAGCCCGAGGGCCGGTCCGTAGCGGGGAGGGGTAGAACGCCTGAGCTCCAGCGCAGTGGAGGTGGTGGTGGCCCGTATCATAAAGAGGCAACCGTAAGCAGAACTACAATTGCCGCAGTATAAGATTATGATCAAGTTTTCTTTAAATGTATTGATTGACAAGAAAGTGCAATGTTTATCCGATATAATAAAACGGTGTCCAAGGCCTTGGAAGAACTATAAAACATATTCAGCAACGTATAAATTTCTGATACAGGCCATGACCTTTCACCTTGCCTCCGGGGAGGACCGCTCAGGAAGCCACATACCGAACGAATCGAGGCCTCGCAGCGCGGCGGCAGAGGAGGTGGGTAAACCATCGCCAGATCTTTCGATTACTTATGTTTCCAGAAGGAGGGGGTGGAGGGGGGCTATTTTCAACCCACTCACCAATCCTTTCCTTATTAACTTATAGCTTACCGAAAAATGCAACACAATGGTGGCCGTCACGAGATGTAGCGAAGAGTGCCTCAGCCACACCGGTTTTGAGTAAACTTTAAGCATTCGAATTCAGGCCAGTGATCCTGAATCATTATTTTATTTTTGTCGTGCATAAGCTGGGATGACGTGGTCCAAGTTAATTGCGAAGAAACGGTTTTAGTTTCAGAACATTTATGAGGCTAGTCGCGCCAAATAGTATACGTTTGTTGTAAAATGTCAAATAGAATGTTGACGTGCTATCCAGATGATGGAATTTATTTGACACAAAGTGGCATCGTTAGTCATCCTGCATACCTATAAATCGATTCGTCACCTTGGTTCGAGCTCAATAGTTCTTTTCGCGGATGATCGGTTTCGTTTTCTTTTATTTTGGGGGGGGGGGGGCAGTTTATGAGCCAGTAACCACCCTCCCCAGCCCCCCAAACAACAATTGTTGACAAATACTGTGATGGCCTAAAAAATGCCCTCAATTGTGTAACGTAGGGAAGAATGAGGTAAGTTGAGCCGCTTTTGTTTTTCGTAAGCTACAGGCTAACTTACTTATCATTTTTCTGCGTTTACGGGTTGGACGGACAGAGTGCGTCATTGCGCATGTAATGGTGGCCAGAAATGTTTCATACCGCTTATTTTTGTACTGAAAGGCTACGTCAAAAATCATCTTGCACGTTGCTCATCTTACCCCATGGGCGGGGTAAGTTGAGACACATCGTGGGGAAACCGGAAAGTTGAGCATGGATGGAAAAAGCGAACCTCTTCTTTTCCCGGGCGCGGCGAAGAGTGGGCTCTTTTATTAACTCCATGGCATACATAATTATGTCAAAGTTTTTTTCCTCCATCAAAAAGTGACTGTTTTAAGCCTTCCAATAACTCGTCAAGTTTTCTATCACGGAAGAAATCATTTTATCCTTCAGATAATCTGCAAATCACTTACAACTTGTGTAATCAACAAAGAAAAACAATTTCCTACCATTTTTATTCAGCAGAAACAAGCGCAGCTCAGTTTGGTTTTCGACAGCGGAGACAACAATGGCTTATCCGGCTCATCTTCCCCCAGGTGAAAATGGCTGATCTTGCCCCACCCGTGGCCATTTTCGATTAATGACACCCGCTAAGGAAAATAACCATGCACCGTAGATAACAACCATCTCATTTTAAAGGCAAAACATGTCTTAGTTATCAGGGGCGATATGTTACCGGGTGCTGAGCGTGAGAACGTTGCCGTCTCACGTGAAAGACTGCAGCATCGTAAGCGAACGGCACATGGAAGCTCAAGTCAATCAGCGCCAGAGGAGCATAGGCGGCGGAACGGGGAGGGCACCGGGGCACCGTGCCCCCCTTTGATTTTGGCATTTTAACATTAGCCCTATGGGCGTTGCATGGAAAGAATGGGACCAAAAGTCGGCAGTGCCCCCCCCCCTTAATTGAAGGTGTTCCGCCGCTACTGCATGGAGCTGAGAAACATGGGGTGGCTAAACTTGCCCTTTGGCTCATCTATACCTCACTCTCCCCTATTTGGGGCTCGCAACCTTGATTCGTTAAAGTTATTTGTCTGTTCATTATAAAAGCTGTCAAATTTGCCGTATCATTAAACTTTTATTGAGTTTGTATTTCACACTTAACTAAAATGAACAATTTTGTCACTGGCTTCTTTTATGAATGGAATTGGATGGTCGCATGAATGAACGAATGAATAGCTCCATTTGAGCATCAGCTGAAATCAATCCTAAAATTTAATCTACCAGTCTGCTACGAAAAGGTTTAAAAACCAGTGCAAGTTAGGTGCAGTTTCTAATCTATGCCGTTTTTTATTAAGTGTCTCATAGTTCCTTAATCTTGAGCCGCTTCTCTCACGATTCATTTTATGTGGTGCTTACATTGTTCAAGAAGTTATATTATTCGAGCTCGTTGGTCTTGAAAACTGCTATCGAAGTAAATTAAAGTGTTTCGGGCTTCGGCACTTAACCCTCGCCCTGGCAGGGGGGGGGTCGATGCGACCCCCCTAAGGTTTTTCGAAGATAACGTAAAAACGGCGGCGCACAGCGCCGCCAAATTTAGCACAGCCTATGGGGCAACCTTTTTACATATGACCTGAAAATTTCAGGTCCGGGTGACCTTGGGTCAGGTCACCAGGTCAGAAAAACCGGTA